ACACCTTTTGTATCGGTGAGTTATTTTGATGGAATCGCAAATGTCCGATATTTAACTTTATCGCTAATATCGGCCGATACCAATACCATGCTGATAATATCGTGCATCCCCAATTCATATTTTTAAAATTTTATTTATTTTATTTTTCTACACATTTTCAACATAACAATCTTGTTCATTTTAAATTTCTATTGCATTTGAAGTCACAGCCTGTAAAACTAAATGAAAAATACGTCAACGCCTCAAAGTGTGAGCAAGATCAAACTTTCCTCTTTCAGCACACAAACATCAAAACAAATTTCTGTTATTGAATTCTGCAGGCAATCACTACATGCAGAGAACTTTACTGAAGTGATAAAGTTTAAGCAGCAGCACCACTGAAGTGATGTTTAAAATTAAAAGAGTGTTTCAGTTCAGGTCTGAGCTGATTTTTGTCTTTTCCTTCCAGTTTCGAGAGCGATTCTCTGCCTACCATGATTACTGCTGGGAGGAGGAAAACACTCTCGACTTTGCACGCAGGCAGATGGAGAGCAATCCACATTTTGTTGCGTTTGTGCAGGTATACTGAAGCAGCTGCAGTTAACTTACGGCAAGCCGTTTGAGCATTTATTCAATATTGAATTGATAAAATAAATGCTTAATAGGCTTACTGTAAGGTTAGTGTGCAATAGAATAAATGTGATGCAGAAAAACTCTCCCAGTCTTTCCAACTATTGACTAAATGGAATCCGTAATGTTTTGTTTGTGATGTTTTCATATTTATGTGGGCGACTTGTTACAAGCACTTGCTGGCTACAGTAACCATTTGTTACGCCAACATTTTCTGTAAATGATTCAGCCATAGGAGGTTTCTTGATCACCAGTCTGATAATTGACGTACAGTATGTTCCGGGAGTGGAGGAGTAGGATCAAGTCTGTTCTGAATGAGCTTCCACTGACTAGTTTAGCATCTTGCAGTGACAACAGTATTGTTATGGTGTTCCACAAGGACAGTTATTTGTTACTTTTCTTTTATTTTGTGGCTTTCTTTTATGCTTTCACAGTTTGTGGAAAAATACTTAAATTTACCATAAATTTATACTTGCTGGGTTGGTAAAGGGGCCAAAGTAGCACCAAACAAAAACATCTCACTTCAGCGTTTTGATAGTTTTTGTTGTTGCAGTTATGTATTTTGATGACAAAAAGTAAGGTAATTTGTGTTTGGCTGAGCATTTCTTTGTTGCAACAATTGTCCTTTGCAATAATTCTTAAAGCGTTGGGAATCCTGTTTATTTCTTTTTAAATGGTGAAACATTTGTTAGGAAAAGTACAGTTGTGAGTTTAGTGAGATGAGTCTGTGAGATGCAAATCTTAGCTAAACAATATTGACTTGTTTGGTGTTGTATATTGGACTGGATGATTGACGTCTGAAGAAACAAGACATGATGGGAATTTAAAAAACTTATTTATTTAATAAACAGGGGCCTCAGCAGCATGTGGAAGAACCATACACAGCTAAAACAGCACCTCTTTATGCTGTTCACCAGCTTGGTACACACTGCTGTGGGATGGCATCCCATTCTTCAAGCAGCATTTGTCGTAAGTGGTTGTGTTAGTCACTCTGGAACAAACAGCACACCCAAGCTGATCCCATGGGCTTGAGGTCAAGACTGAAAGCAGGCCATTCCATCCTCTCCAAAATCCAAACTCTGGAGGTAGTCTCTGATAAACTTCACTCTGCGAGAGTCAGCGTTGTTGTCTAGAGTTTGGTCCCAGACTGTGGATTTATGGGATTCCCACTGGTTGTTCCTAGATGCTGATAATCAGGCACATAAATGGCACCTAATTATCAGCATCTGGGGTAGTAGAAGCTCAAAACGAGTCAGTAGCAGTCTGAGCTGCTTGACGTGGGCAGTGAAGGTTCTGCAAGATTTTTTTGGGATGTAAGCCTCAAACTCAACTGTGCTGCTGAACACATTTTTGAAGAAATGTGGCAACATTTAGGGGAAATAAACAGGCTTTCCAAGAGTTTAATAAGTATTGTTACAACAATTAAATAACTGACCAAACACTAGTATTGGTTTTAATGGGATAGTTCAGACTTTTTGAATTGGGCCAAAAAGTTCAAGTTCAAGTTTAATGTCATTCTCATCACATGTGGTACACGTGGTAGAACAAAATTATGTACTCGGGTCAAAAAGGGTCAAGAACAAAATGGATTGTTGCTCATTTAAAACAATTCTTCTTACAAACACCATTTTTTGAACTTTTACATAACTGTCTGTTTTACATTACACAATTATTTCCAAAGTTTTAGTTGGTCATGTGCAAGTTCAAAGAGCAGCAGGTAACGGTCGCACTTCTGGTGAAGATTGAGGAACTTCCAACAAGAAAATTGTAGCATTTCTGTTGAAATGACTATGCAATGTGAAATTGACAGCAGTATATAGGTTCATTCAATAGCTTATGCATTGACTGATTTCATTTATTTTTTTTAGATTTGAATTGTTTTAAGATCATAGTAATCCATTTAGGGTTTAGGACTTGCTCGGACTAGTCTTTAGCCGGTTCAAATTAAACCCACTTTTTGTAAGCTCAAACTGCTTAAGGAGCTATCTACAAAATAAGATCGAACCGTGCTTTAAAAGATTTGAACCATCTTGGTTTGAATGGTTAGTGAGCTGCACAAAAATAATAAATTAATTTTATTATTCTTGGAGAAATTATATCTAAATTATATGCAGGCTCAAATACTAATAAACTACTTAAATTGACATAATATAAATTCTACTGTGGTTTAATATCACTTCTTTAAAGGAAGGTTTTTAATCCAGAACACCTTGTTGAGACCATTTCTCTGTGTTTTGGCTCTGTCCAGTGGGTGGAGGATCACCCTTCGTGTCTGAGGATGCGACTTGGAGACATGCAGGCTAAACCCCATGTGAGGATCACCAAATACCCCCTGCTGCTCAAGAGTGTGCTCGAAAACACCCAGGAGCCCCAGGTGCAACAGGCCCTCAAAGGGATGGTGAGGGTTTAATTCTGCACAAAAATGTATCCTTCGCAGATGCAAGACATTTCCCTCACACCAGCCGTCTTTCCGCTTGCTCTCTTCTCCAGCTGTCCAGCGTGAAGAGGTTTTTAGAAAGCATCAACGACTACATTCGGCTGAGAGATGACGAGCTTGCTCTCTCCATCTCTGCGCAGAGGTTGGAGGGTTATGAGGTGGAGGGACTGAATGAAGAAATTGACAGGGTAAAATAAATAGCAGCTGTGATCATTTATTCTGTTTTTGATCGTTTTATTTTTCTGCAGTTGGTTCATTTTTGTATTGTTCTATGTAGTCATCTCATGGCTCTTAGCAGTTGTTCCATTTATTTTGCCATTTAATTTCATAATTTTGCAGGTCTTTAGTGTATTTTTGTTGACTTTTTTATCTTTAAAATAGTCGCTTTCTGTGTTTTGTGACTCTTTGACATTACCGTATTTTTTGGACTATAAGGCGCAGTATCAACGAACGGATCTGTTTTCATACACAAGATGCACCGGATTATAAATTGCATTAAGGGAAACAAGTTTATCTTGACAGACTTTTGAGCACCGTGTACCACATAAAATCAGTCTGAGGTCAGTAAGCACAACCAGAATTAATACATAAGGCGTACTGGATTATAAGGCTCACTGTCCATTTTTTTTAAATAAAATTAAAGGATTTTAAGTGCGTCTTATAGTCCAAAAAATATGGTACTTCGTGTTACAGTTTATGTGTTTTTTTAAGATTCTTTGACACATTTTGTGTTTGTTTTCATCTCTTTTTTGGCCATTGTGTTTTAACTTTTTAACCACAAACTCCAAACCTCAATACTAACACTGTTACATGTTTTTGTTAATGTTGTTCTGCAGTACATTTAATCTAGGTACTCATTGCAAACTATGAAATCGAGCATAAAATGTTGAACTGTGCCAAATGGTGCCGTTTGAAAGGGTTTACTCCAGTAGCTTTCCAAATATGTTGATCATTGCAATTCTGAAATGTGGGTCCACGCTCCATGTAAACAATGCCTGAAAACAAAAACAGTGGAGAAGCTTCTATCACATGACTGGTCTACATTAGTCTGACCAGTCTCTGTCAGTAAACAACATGGTCAGTAAGCTGTTGACCTATTTTCACTCTAGCTCTTTCTGTCACAAGTTTTGCTCACAAATAGGTAATTTAATGAAACATTAGCCATTAATAAAATAATGTGCAGATTTAGTTTTGTACTTTATGCTTGTCCTGTTTTTGAGACTGCAATGAGTACCTTTAAAACTGTCCAGATGACATTATTGAACTTTTTTTGTGTGATTTATTTACCTGGATGATTGAGCATACTTACGCTTTTTCACTACAAAGATATTTTTACCAAAGTGGTTCAGTCAGAACCTGAGAAGTTTGAAAAGTCAACACGTTGAGAATATCATATAGTACCCTAAAATATGAGATTTTCAAACGAAAGCTTAGATTTTTAAGAAACCAAAGCAAAACTTTGAAGAAACATGAAACTTGATGATTGCTTTTACGTATCCTGGACTTCTTTAATTTCTGATGGTTATCTGTGGTCGACAGTACGTCCGAGAAGTCAGCCAGTTTGACCTCACGTGCCCCATCAGAGGAGTGGGTCCTGGAGTCATCCGTAAGCTGCTGCTGGAGGACAACCTGAAGGTTCGGGGCAGAAAGGACAGTAAAGTAAGCAAACCTGGTGCTCTGTGTTTTGAAATGGCCGATCTCGTTTCAGTTTTGTCTTATAGTTTCTTTGTAACGCAGCTGGAGCTGGTGGCTCTGCTCTTCTCAGACGTGCTGCTTCTGACTAAAGTTCAGAAGAAAGCAGAGCGACTGAAGGTGGTCCGACCTCCTCTGGCCCTGGACAGAATGTACTGCTACACACTGAAGGATGGCTGTGAGTACTCATATCAGAACAACAGAGCCTTGTATGCTGAACTGATCCTGTAATGTGCTTTTTATTTTTTTATTTTAATTTGGGGTGTTTCTCTCAGGCTCATTTGTTCTGGTGGAAGTTGGTGAGCTTCAGTCTGCCATGAATGTCCTCATACTTGTGGCGAGCACCTCAGACAGGTGTTCCACGTGGGTCTCCACCATCCACCAAGCGAAGGTAACACCTGACAGCTTTATACCAGAACTTACAAAAGATACTATTATGGTTTGCTTTAGCTGTTGGAGTTTTAGGAATGTCAAAAACTTTCAATTAACTCAACAAGCCTCAGTCTGATTATCTTTAATAAATATAGAAAGATTTATAGTAGAGAAATCTGATGAGTACTTGAGCAAACCTTTCCAAATGATGTAGGTGGAAGTATTTGCTGAAGGAAGACAGAAAATCCAGTTTAGAATCCACTCCCAGTGCTCAGAACCTTCTTATCAGGGGCCAAATATTTAACAATTTCAAGTTGATTAACACCATATTTGACCTTTCACAATTTAATTAAAAAAAATTCAGTAAAAGTCTTATCTATGGCACAAAAAAGGTCAAATGTTTTGATCATTTTAAAAAGAAAGATTCAGATTCATAGCTTGTGAATAAATAAAAAAGCAAATTTACTTAGTCAAGATTTTTTAAGTAATATTTATTATTAGTAGTAGTTGTTGTTTTGACGGCCATCTTTCATCGGATGGACTCTAAAAGTTAATCATGTGTAAATCTTTTCAGTGATTACTTTCTGAGAGTTTTGTTAAAATCCATATTCTGGTTTATGAGATATTTTGCTAATAAACATACATGGTGATCTCTTCCATTTGCTTTATGTCCATCAACAACAGATGAAATTTAGCTATTGCGTTAATTCTGGTGCATTTATATTCTTGGAATATCGATTCATGTGCACTGTCATTTTAAACAAATCAGTTTAAATTAAATGAAATATTGAATCCTGAATTACAACCAACTTTATTAAACATTCATTTTTTTTGCCCTTAAAGTACATAAATCCTCTTCCACTCTTAGTATCTCAGTCTTTTTATGTAAAACATGTATATTTTTTGAATCGCTGCATGCTTTAGTGAATGCTGTTTATCAATAGGCGACGCTGACGCACCTGAGAGAGCAGAAGATCAACAGAGTGGACAACCTGAAAGAGCAGCAGAAGACCAAACCTGCTGAAGACACCAAGATGGATGAAATCAAATTAGAAGAAAAGCTTAAAGTTCCTCAAAAGAAGAGTTTAATGGAAGAACTTAATGATGTTTTAAATAAATATCCCTTGATGAATGGATTTATAAATGATGAGCAGAGCCAGCCTCCAAACGAGGGGCCCACGAACAACACTGGATTAACCCCAAAGAGGAGCAACAATGTGAATAAATTAGGTTATAAAAGTGGTCTGGGTCAACGGCAAGTGCTCCAAGGACCCGAATGGATAGAAATGGAACGAAGAGATCCTGGTGTAAACCAGTCTGAAGAAGAGGGCAAAATCGTTGAGACTCAGATCATCACGAAGGCTCTTCCTGTTTCAAAACTGAATCATTTCCCTCAAAGCAAACCTCCAGATCTATCAGGAACCAATACAACTAGACGTCCCAACTTTCTCCCACATGAACTACCAGACGTTGACTACCCAACAGAAGAAGAGAGCACTTTATCACCTCCTCAAAAGCCTCAAATCTCCAGCGAGATGCTTCCAAGACCGCAGGTGGAGAAAAGAGCATTGACAAGAAGCAATTCAGACTTGCAGCTTGTGACTCAGGACAACCAGAAAACTTTTCCCAGTCAGTCTGGAGTGGCAGAAACTTATCTAGATGTATCCAGTTTTCCTCCGAATTTGAAGTCTCCCGGGTTACGAAAGAGGAGGCCCGTCAGCACAAACCCGAGCCCCTCGACTCCGCCTTTGAAGCCGCGCCTCCTTGATTTGGGACGACCTGCTTCTGCCTCAAACAGCTCCTCGAATTCAGACTCTGAGTGCAGCACAAATATCAAGAGGAACTCTCTTCCTGCTACTTTTAGCTCAGATTTACAGCAGGTGCCCAAAGTGGGCCCCAAGCCGAACTACAACGCATTCCTGAACAAGTACAACAGAATCCCCCCAGACGCCCAAAACATTTCTGAGTCTGACCTGCCAGATACCACCTCCCAGAGCATAAAGCCCAAAATTAAGAATGTAAGGAGTTCCTCCAGTCCCAGCATGATTAATGAAGGAAAGCAGCCGGTTCGTGGACCTTCCAACAGCTCGCACGCATCACCCCAGGAGGAGGACCCCTCCAGCTCAGGATTTACTATAAACTCCTCACCTGTGGAGGGACTTTTAGAAAGAGCCAAAGAAAGAGGGAAAGACAAAACCTTACTAAAGAGAGACAAATATGTAAAAACGGCTACTTTAAAGCCAAAGTACCAGGCTAATTTCCAGCCACATAATCCCGCGCCTTCACCCACGCCCAGTGATGGGGGCAGAGACACAGAGGAGGGGGAGGTGGAGCTGATCAGACCCAGGTCCTCCACAGTGAGCATGAGATGGAAGGAGCAGCTGGTGGACGGGGATGAAGACGACAAGAGCGGCAGGTCAGTACGGGAAATTATCTCTTTACTTTCCTTCATTCACGCCCTTTAATCAACACGTATAATTTATACGTGGTTGTCCTTCATGTAGTAAAGTTCTACTAAAGCATAGATGTAAATAAAAAGAGCAAAGGCAGAAAGGTTGAAACGGATGACGAGTGGTCAACAGAAAAAAACAAAACAAAAAAAAAGCACTAACACGTTACGTATAGGCTTGACACTGCTGGTATAGCCCTACATAACTTCACTGACCTACACAAGGTGAGGTCAGTGAACAAGGCCAGGCTGATTCTGGCAGATCCTGATCATCCACTGCATGGTGAGTTCAGGTTGCTTCCATCTGGACGCAGGTATCTGCAGCCCAGGTGTAGGACGAACAGACTGAAAAACTCATTCATCCCTGTAGTGATCAGGCTTCTCAACCAGCAATGATTGTTTATGTACTGTTATTTTAACGTCTTAATATCTTGTCTAGTATGGATGTTTTGTGTGACTACTAACTGTGAAACAAATTGCTCCTTGGGGATAATAAAGATTCTTGAACTTGGGGTTCTCCTTAGGAGTGACAAGGATGGATAAGATTAAGAATGAGATCATCAGAGGTACAGCACAGGTTGAACAACTGGGAGATAAAGTTAGAGAGACCAGACTGAGATGGTTTGGACATGTCCAGAGGAGGGACAGTGGGTATACTGGTAGAAGGATGTTAGAAATGCAGTTGCCAGGAAAAAGACAAAGAGGAGATATATGGAGGCAGTTAGAGAGGACATGGAGGTAGATGGAGTGAGGACAGAGTGAGATGGAGGAGGATGACTCGCTATGGAGGAACAGCCGAAAGAAAAAGAAGGTTTCTCAGGATTTTGTAAAGAAATACTACAGTAAAAATAGTTTAATAATAATAAAGTTGTCAAAGTCTTTGTTGACTTGAACAACAGAATGGGCGACACATCCCAATGTTCTCTTTTTACTTGTTTTGATTGAATTCAGTAAATTAGAATAATTTTTCTAAAAGATTCAAATCATAATGTTCAAGATTCTTTATTTTCAGTCACATCACATGTGGTACATGAGGTGGAATGAAATTGTGTACTCAAGGTCCCAGTTACACCCAACAATAGCAAAAAAAAAGTATAAAAAGAAACAGTATACAAGGATCTAAGATATATGCTAAATGAACATTAAACGATACGCTATAGGATCTAAGATATACGCTAAACACTAATAATGTAAAATAATACAGCGTATTAAACAGCAGCCTGAACATGAGTCTATAGTAAGCAGATTGATATGAAAGGGTATGAAATAGGGGTAGTGTGAATTATGGGTGTGGATATGAAATAAGCTGCTGAGTATTACATAAACCAAAATAGATGAAACATTCGTTGTGATTAAATTTGGTCGTAACAAACAGAAAAATACTATTTACTCTCCCTTGACATGACAAAAGTCAAAGGACAAATGATGGGGCTTTTCAAACATCAATCTGATGTGATCTGAAATATATTCCACAGAGGGGTTTTTATAAGTGGAGCTCTTACTAAATCAGAATGAAGTTCCAAAAGTTTGTCTTGAAGAATAAAGTACATCCGAAGTATCCAGTAAACAGTCAAAAACAACACCATGACGCCATCTGTCAAAGGGAATAATTGCTGGGTTTAGTGTAACGTAAGCTCAGACGTGTAAAGAAGTGAAGCTCGTCTCGTATCGGCAGACAAATTGCAGATTTTCTCACGCCTACAGGTCTAATACAAACAACCAACTGCAAAGTAGACAATGGTTAGGCCTGCTTACATCTGCAACCTCGTCTGCAAGCCATTTTGAAACGTAAAACGGCAAATGAGATCGTGCTGGAAACATGCAGAGAATGTAAAAAGAAAACAGCGAGCACAACCAAAACAGTTCGACAAGTCTGGAGGAATGTTTTAGAGGAGTATTTTATTTTTATGTGTTAAAGTTCTGAATGAGCTGACAAACGATTTGTGGCCATAATATTTTTCTATCAGCTAAAATACGACTTCCGTTGATGTTATTCAGCAAATTATTAAGAAACAAAGCAAGTGAAAGTCGCAGATGAGCCTGTAGATTAATCTGTATGAAATTTTCCACTGAAATGAGCTTCTGGTGGAGCCTTTGAGCTTCAGGGCTTCCAAAAGTTGCACAACTGTTAATTATCTGATGCGCAAACGCACGTTACTCGATCGCATAGTTTACCAAAATAGATCCTTTGTGCTATGACCTCAAATTTTTTAACTGTCTGAATGCTTTGGTTCAAGTCCGATTTTAATTTGAGGTCAAATAAGACTCGGATGAGTTCGTTCTCTGGAGGTTTTTATACTTTGTTTCCATCGTGGGTTGGAAGTTTAATCGCACTTCCCTGGATAATGAAATGGTAGCTGAGGGTTTAAAGTGTGAGGGTAAAGAAAGAAAGAAAGAAAGAAAGAAAGTTACGTTTTATGTCTTTTACTATTTGGTTCACTGAAACTATACAATGAAATCATCCATCATCCATCCATCCAATATCTGTACCTGCTTCTTCCTTTTCGGGTCAAGGGGGTCACTGGTGCCCATACCCAACAGTCACTGTGTGAGAGGTGGGGGACACCCTGGACAGGTCTCCAGTCCATCACAGGGACAAATCGAGACAAACAAGACAAACAACCATTCACTCTCTCACCTATCAGTCTGACATGCATGTTTTGGTCTGTGGGTGGAAACCGGAGTACCTGGAGAAATGCATGGAGAGAACATGCAAACTCCACCCAGAAAGACCCCCGGGCCAGGATTGGATCCGGCAACCTTCTCGCTGAGAGGCAACAACTCTACCAACTGATCCACCGTGCTGCAGTCCTGTTCATGACTGTTAAATAGATGCTGCCACAAATGGTTTCAGGTGACAGACAGCATTCTTCCAGTTTCAACACCAAAACTGCAAACTTAACAAAGAAGCATAAAATGTTTGACTATATGAGTCCAAAACAAGTCTCAGTGACAACAGAATATAATTTATCATACTGTGTCATTTCACAGTATTGTTTTGTAAAGCATTGTGAAAGGGATCAATCTCGACACAGTGATGACTACAACTAGTTTTTAAATTTTCTCGTTATTTTTTTTTATGAGTCTGATTTGAATCACTTTATAATTACTCATTAATATTAAAATATTATCACATTTTTTCCATCCTTCAGCAGTTTTTTTAATAATACATTACACTGATAGAAAAAGCATTACAATCTAAACAAACTAATCTTGGTGCACAAATCTCAGTGTACATTAACTTCATACTCAGTATTCCTGTCAGGTGGTTGTTAGGTAATACTTTGGTAAATAAATGAAATAACCTAAATATCAACCTCATATTGCATCACAGGAGGTTTGGACCCAAGAATGCAGTCTGAGGAGCTTCAATAAAAATAAAAATAAATTCCATTTTAATAAAAAGTCTATTCAATTCACTTATTTATATAGCGCCAAGTCACAACAGAAGTTGACTCAGGGCACAGAACAGAAACATTCATATACATTTTAAAAAGCCAATTTTTAAAAGTTATCTCTCTGAGGAAGCCAGCAGACTATGTTGAATCTTCACTTCGTTGTACTTGAGCGAGCACAAAGGCAACAGTGGAAAGGAAAAACTCCCTTTTAACAGGAAGAAGCCAAAAGAAAAAAATCACAAATCAAAGCAAAGACTTACAAAACTGGAGACGATGCACAATGAAGCAAAGGTGTGGTGTAAAATGCATAACGCTCAACTGGTGGGTGAATAAAAAGAGACAAACTGACTGATGAGGAAGTGGAGACACCTGGGCAATGTGAGACTATAGGAGCAGGTGAAGATGGGTGGAGCGCAGAAATGTAGCAAACTGACTGAAGGCAAGGCTGGAAGCTCAAGTGGGCAAAGAACAAACTGAACACAAATGGAAGTAAAACACAAAATAAGGAGTACTGTAGTCCTCGATACTTCACGTTTCGTTTATCGTGGACTCGCTTTATCGCGGTTTTTCAAAATAAGAATGGATATGACACACAATTAATGGATGAGTCGCACGATAGGCATGGAATTTTTAAAAAATAAATTATTTTAAATTATTTAGCACCTGCTGCACCTTTGTGCAGCCCATACTGCAGGATAAACTTCCTGCTGCAGCTGATCAGCTGTTCACTGAGCAGAGCGGAGGAGTGGGCGTGGCCAAGAGCGCTTGCAGGTGGCAAAGAGCAGAGGAGGCAGGGAGCTGAAATCATGACATTCTGTGCTCTTTTAGAGCGTTTAGAGATTAAAAACATTGTTTAGAATATTGCAATAGTGTGGGAAGGGTTTAAAACACCTTTATATATAATATATATAAAATAAACTACTACTTACTACTTGTACTACTATTCCTACTTCGCGGTTTTTCACTTATCGTGGGTCTTCAGGGTACCGATCCCCCGCAACAAATGAGCGATTACTGTAAACACAAAATAAATAAAAAACTGATTCTGACATTTTGTCTCTCTTATCTCACTGTTACCACCTGGTTACCACGGTGTGATGTAAAGTGTCACTGGAAGTTTTGAAATATTTTCAATCTGTCACACTTCTGGTTCTGAAATGAGGTTTAAGGTTGACAACGAGCAGATTGTTCTGTGTGAATGGAAACTTTAAATTACTGTCTCATTCTTGTTTCTAACCACAACACATGCACATAAAGTACTCAAAATCATGGCTGTTGTGTTCCTCTTTTCAAACATTTATATAAAAATCCTATTTATTAAAAAAAGTGAGCCTTTTTACACAGGCAAAGAAAAAAAGCTTAGTTTTGTCTGTTTCTCTTTCGTGTGGTCAAGAATACTTTAAGGACAATTTCAAGAATTACATAGTTAAGCAACTTGTGCAATACCGTATTTTTCTGACTGTAAGGCGCACCGGATTATAAGGTGCAATAAGTGAAACAAAATAGTCAGATAAGTCACAGTTTATTTAACTCATTCACAATAACCACATAAAATCGATTTGAGGTCAGTAAGCACAACCGGAATTAATACATAAGGCGCACCATACTGTCGATTTTTGAGAAACTTTAAGGATTTTAAATGTGCCTTATAGTCCGAAAAATACGGTAGTTTAATTAAAGTGTTTCTATTTTATAGCTGCTCTCATCTGTTTAAGACTGAAATGCTTTTGTTTTCAGTTTCATCCTTTTCAACAGAAATAGATGATCAATTTAGTTACAAGCTACCAGGTTATTTCAGAGAAATCTGACCATCCATCCATCCATCCATCCATTTTCTTTACCCGCTTATTCCATTTTGGGTCACGGGGGTCGCTGGTGCCCATGTCCAGCAATCACTGTGCGAGGGGCGGGGTACACCCTGGACGGGTCGCAAGTCCATCACAGGGCCACATAGAGACAAACGAGACAAACAACCATTCACTCTCTCACTCACACCTAGGGACAATTTAGAGTTACCAATCAGCCTAACATGCATGTTTTTGGACTGTGGGAGGAAACCGGAGTACCCGGAGAAAACCCACGCATGCACGGAGAGAACATGCAAACTCCACCCAGAAAGGCCCCTGGACCGGGGTTTGAACCAGGGACCTGCTCGCTGAGAGGCAGCAGCTCTACCAGTTGCGCCACCGTGCTGCCCGAAATCTGACCAAATATGCCAAATAAAATGTGCTAATGAAAAGATAAGACAATTGGTCTGAAGAATGATCCAAACTCTTCCATAAAAGTTGTAAAAATGGGCCACATTTTTATCAGACGCAACAAACGATGGACATTTTGCGAGATCATAACTTATAGTTCAGTAGCTATAAGAGCATATTTTGTATTTGTACATTAAAATTAGTTTTGAAAGCTACTTTTGCCATTCAGAAATGTGTTGCAGTTACTGTCACTCAAATGCACCACGATTCTCAATGCAAATGAATGACTTCACAGTAAAAGTTGAAACAATATTTGTTGCTCTGTCTTCTTTTTCAGTACCATCTTCATGGATGGTGAAATTGTGGACTGGGCAGGCTGGTGCGTCGATGACGAGGAAGTCCTGACTCACCTGCACCCCAAAGTTCAAGGACTTCCTGAAGGAATGAAGTCCAAATGGGGTCTCCAAGAGTGTCAGGAAGACGGGGAATATAGTCAGGTGTAGCTTTACGGTAACTGTGCTAAAATAATGACCCGTCTGTCAGCTCAAACTTTAGGATTTTGGGCTTAAGATCCATAAAATGGCAAGACAAACGTACTTTTTAGGTCAATCTAAGGCACATAAAGGTGTAAATAGAACTTAGCAAACATGAAAAACAGTTGTTTTTTTATGCACAAATAATTTGACGCGCTGCAAAAAAAAAAATTCAGTGTGTAAACTTATGAAAACATCATCTGTAATTTATGTAAAGTAATGTAATATATTTAGAACAATTCTAAAATTTGTGGCCAAAGTTGTTTTTTTTTAAGTTTACATTTTATTTATGTCAACAGTGTGAATTTATTTTTGTTAAACAGAAGAGTTTTGATTGTACATATGAAAATGAAATCCAATTTGTTAAGTGCACTTTATTTGTAAAACATTTTGAAACAAATCTTTACGTGGAACAGTTAAGAATATTTACAGCTATATATATATACATTTACAATTAAAATGATTTTTATTGTTTTATTAGATACTGCTACACAAGTCTGCTCTGAGTATATTTACAAAATCTGTGCAAATAAAAGCAGGCGGTGACAAATTTCACCACGCTTTAGCGCCGCGCTTATTGTTTTCTGCGTTGTGTCTTTTTCACTTCTTCACTCGGTTCCTTTCTTTCTCGTCTCGCTCGTTGGAGACGGTGTGAACAATAGTCTCCAGCGCAGGATACTGCAAGATTCTTTTCCTCTGTGGGAGGAAAAAAAAAAAACTTAATTAATGATAGAAACACTCAAAAACTGTGTTTAATTGCAAGGTTTTACATTTTATGTCCAAAAAATATTCATAAAAACATCAGAAGCTTCCTGTAAAGCTGAGCACAGAGTGTAAAGAGCTGCCGTTTCTTACCCTCTGGTGATTTTTGTACATCTGAGCGAGGATGAGCAGCAGGATGATGAGGAGAAAACTCAGTCCGACCACGGTGCCTGTGCTCCCTGAGACACCTGATATTTGTCCACTTTGTCCGCCTGAAAAAAGCCCACACCAAAACAATAGAAAAATTGTCAGAAAGCCTGATGCTGATATGTGTTTTTTAAATGAGTGCACATAAAAAAAAACCTCACTCATTATGTGAACCTGGGTTGTTACACTCCCCAAAACGCCCTCTTTGCCATAGTAACGACACGTCCATTCACCCCAGTCCTCGTTTAAGGAAATGCTCTGTCCCTTCACGATGGGCCCCTCTGACCTGCTGCTGTTGAGGTCAAAGGTCACACGGACCCAGTCGTACTCTGCGACTTCGCTCGCGTCACTCAGCTGGCAGGTCAGCGTCACAGAGCTCTTCTTTTTTAACTGGACAACTTAAAGGAGAACAAAAACGACTTGCATTAAATGTTTTAATGACAAAAATTAAAATGTTTTTTAAAAAGGTAACTTAACGCACTTTGAGCAACGACAAGCTGCATTGTTCGCGTCAGACGTTGCCCCTTAACGGTTCCCGCACATCTGTACTTGCCCTGATCCCCGAGAGTAACTTCCTGGATTGTAAAGGACTTATCCGAGGACGTCGGATAAACGGACTTGTTGCTGAGATCAAGATGTTTCCGAGCGTCCGTCTTTTCTAAAACCGTCTCTGTAGGGTTTAATCGAGGAGAGAACACACAGGGGAGAGTAACTGCAGACCCCACCGCAGCATAAAATTTAGTATCACTCTTGATTGGCTGGCTGATTCCTGTAAGAACAAAAATGTTGAGATCTTCAGGTATAATTCACCGACTACACCTCTTTATCTCCAGCTCAGTGTCTCACCTTGCACAGACAGCGTTGTCGCCACTCGCCACTCTCTCTTGGCGTTAAGGACACAGGTCCAGTTTCCTGTAAGCTTATCGGTCGCCTTTTCTTCCACGACACTCTTGCGGTTTTCTGTGATGGATCCTGTTTCAGGCAAAAACGGACTGCCGTTCAACATCCACTTCACATACGCTCCTTCAGGCCAAGGTTTCACACTACAAGTGACTGACACAGAGTCCCCCCATATTGGTGCCGATGGTGAGATGGACACTGTAAGAAAATATGAGGTTGAGCATGTTCTTGTACAGTAATACAGCATTTTATTTGTAACAAAAAGAAGCCGTGAGTACAGTCGTTATCTTGATCTATGTGGCGTTATCGCGTCATAATGAATGATTTTTAACTCCAGAATTAAAATGATTTTTTATTAGAACTTCAAACTTAATCTCTCTTGTACAACAATCAATATGTTTTAAGTTTTATTTAGATTTTTTTTATATATAACAATTTAGAGCAAGCGCTCACAATAAAAACCTCGGTTTCTTACCCTGAATGATCCGGAGCATGACAGAGTGATGTTCGGTGATGCCGTCAGTAATTTGCACTCTACAAAAGTAAAGTCCTCCATCTTCCTCCTTCACCTGGTTGATCTGGAGGCTGTAGTCCCCTCGAGTGAAGGCGGTGTGAGGGCATCGCACACGTTGGATCCCCTTCTCAATCCAGCTGGAGCCCCAGTACTGCAGACCGCTGCTTTGCTTTCTCCAAACAGTACTGCGGTACAACAAACATCCATGGGTCATGCCAACATGAGTATATAAAGATGGATTTATTGGGCTGGACTGAGAAGAAGTGAAGAGTAGATTAGGGATGTGAGGAGTGAAGTATGCTTCTTACCCTTTCTTGTCTTTAGTCCATGTGATGGTAACAGGATCGCAGTTTGCCGTGCCACATCTACAGGGTAGAACAGCCTGAGATCCGGCCTCAACAAACACCTCTGCTGGCTCACATCTAACGCCTGGAGAACAAACACATCAAATCAGTTCCTGGAGAAAAATATAGAAATACTTTTTTTTTTTTTTTAAATATACGGTAAAAGTGATTAAAAAAATTACCTGACATGAGAAGAAAGATCATCCCAAAGATGATAACCTTCACCAACATCCTCATTGTTTTTGAACTTTAGTTTGAAAAAAGTCCTCAAATTTCATCCGATTCATCCGTTTCTCCTCCGGAAGGCTGCGTTTCTCTTTCAGCGAAGAGCTGGGCGACGTGCTTTCTTCTCACTGAAGCTATGAGGTTAATATATGAGGAGGCGGAGGAGGATGGAGGTGCTGGGTAGTTCCTCTGCTCATCATGTGACTTCAGCTGCAAGCGAGACTTTGATGCGGTCTGAATTTGTCAGCCTGGAAACTGTAAGGCAGAGACGTAAACAGGGAGCCCCACGTCCTCCCACGGATTCTCTTTGCCTTCATCTGTTTCCTTCTTTTTCTAAGTCAAATATCTTCTGAAAAACATTTTGACAATAGTCAATTTGATAAAAACGACCTGTTCAGAGAATAAACATAGATTTAAATAAGGCGAACAAAAATAGACAAACTATCTTTCTTACCATAAAAAAACACTACTTATACTTTAATACTACAAAATTATACTATATTGTATGTTTTTTCCACAAATCACAGCTTCTTGTTGACAAACTCTTGGGGATTGTCAGGATGTGCAGCAAAACTGGCATAGCCCTACAGAACTTCACTGACCTACACAAGGCGAGGTCAGTGAACAAGGCCTGGCTGATTCTGGCAGATCCTGATCATCCACTCCACGGTGAGTTCATGTTGCTTCCGTCTGGACGCAGGGATCTGCAGCCCTGATGTAGAATGAACCAAATGAAAAACTCATCCATCCCTGTAGTGATCAGGCTTCTCATTGAACAGTGATTGTTATTTTAAGGTCTCAATGTCTGGATGTTTTTTTGTGACTACTGACTGTGAAACAAATTACCCCTCGAGGATGATAAAGATTCTTGAACTTGAACGTGAAATATTGTCAGTATCATTCAAGGAAGCTCTGGTTGTTGTTTTGAAACAGAAATGGCAGAAGTGCAACCCCAAACCACCCGTCACTCTTTATACTCCGTCACTGCCAGTCATGTGGGTTCACAAACACCCGTTAGCGTTACCAAGTCGAGGCTTCAGCAGCAGCCTGAGAATGAGCGCAGTGTAAACGCCACTTCTGGCTCTAAAGGATATTCATGAACATGAATCATCAGCTCCACTCTCATTTCTTTACTTTCCTTTTCGTCAGTTCAAGTGTCCCAGTAATAGAAACAGGCCTACACTGCTGAGCACATGCCTTACATTACAATTTTTTTTTTGTTGCACATTTTACATTCAGTGTCAAACAGAGAAGGATTATAGTTTATTGAAATCATTGATTTTAATAAAGACAAATATGAGCAGAATGTACTTTGTAGGTCCGAGTGGAAAAAAAGTTTTCTGTAATTAGATAAAATATATTTAAAAGGTAAAATAGATTAATGTAAGTTTGCATTGTGTTGTTTTGTTGCTATTATTTGCATAAAGTCTAAGTTCAATTTGTGGTTTAATATTAATGTGAATGGAAAGGCAAAATACAGCCATGGATCCAGAAATGGTATTTTTGTTGCATTTTTCATCTTATTTGCATTTATTTTCTCATGTTTTATACAATATTAGGGCAGCACGGTGGCGCAACTGATAGAGCTGCTGCCTCTCAGTGAACAGGTCCCCGGTTCAAATCCTGGTCCAGGTGCCTTTCTGGGTGGAGTTTGCATGTTATCTCCGTGCATGCGTGCATTTTCTCCGGGTACTCCGGTTTCCTCCCACAGACCAAAAACATGCATGTTAGGCTGATTGGTAACTCTAAATTGTCCCTAGGTGTGAGTGAGAGAGTGAATGGTTGTTTGTCTCGTTTGTCTCTATGTGTCCCTGTGATGGACTGGAGACCTGTCCAGGGTGTATCCTGCCCCTCGCACAGTGATTGCTGGACATGGGCACCGGCGACCCCCATGACCCAAAATGGAAGAAGCTGGTAAAGATAATGGATGGATGGATGGATGGATGGATGTTTCCTGGAGTTTACAAACTATTAAATGCTGTCTGCACGGTCCCAACAAGTTAATTTTCAGTATGGGTGCCCAAACTTTTACACTTTTGTTACTAAACCTAGAGCTCACTACACAGAAAAGCACAAGTCCATAAAACTTTCACTTTATCCTACAAACAACCTTGTATATTAGAGGTCTGCTGCTACGGGCCATTCAGTCCCTGTATGAACGGTTCACACTCCTGGCAGTAAGTCGGACCTCTTCAGGGTGAGAGCTGGACCTGCCTGTGTTGCCCATTGTCACTGATTCTGGTCATTGCTTTTATGGACAAAATTATTTGATGCAGCCAGTGGGAAGAAGAGGTCTGGTTCAATGGCCTTGAGATTCATTCATTCATTCATCCATTCATTATCTTTTACCTGCTTCTTCCTTTCCGGGTCATGAGGGTTACTAGTGCCGATATCCAGCAGTCACTGTGCGAGAAGTGGGGGGGACACCTTGGACAGGTCCCAAGTCCTTCATAGGACCGGCGTTGGGATTTCATCTCTGCCATTTGCAGATGATGTGGTCCTGTTGGCGTCACACTTTAGGTGATTTAAGCATCTGGTAAGGAAGCCTCAGGACATGATGTTCCAGACATGTCCAACTGGGAGGAGACCCCAGGGAAGACCCATCTGTTGAAAATGCCTTGTACTTCTGGAAGAGCTGGCTGTGGAAAGAAATGTCTGCTCCTCCCGGATGGATGGATGGATGGATGGATGGATGGATGGATGGATGGATGG